AGCACGGAGCAAAAAACCACGTACACATTAGCACCCCATACAATCATATCAGTCGATGTCATTAGCAACGACGGCCGCAGCAGATATAACGGGACAATGTCCTCCTCGAGTACCCCGCCTTCTAAATATTCCTGGCTCGGCGTTTCTCTAAGTCTTGCATCGTCTCTCTGGCAATCTTTACTTCAGCCAAAAATTCAGCATTGCGGACTTCAACTTTCGTAAGGTGGTCCTGTAAATCGGTGTAACAATCCTTTCTACTAAATTTGGCATTCATATACGTATATGGATTGCCATCATTCTGCGGCTGAGATGTCTCAGGCATTTCTGCATCGCCCGCATTCTCACCCACCACCGCAGTGGGTGTACACGTTTCCTTAAGAGCGCCCACAATGTCATAGTCCGGCCCATTCACCATGGTCTCATCTAGGGCCTGTGCGCACACTATGAGCTGCTTCTCTCTAAATATTATACGCATGTTCTCTGCTTGTACAGCACTACTCGTTGCCACACTTTGTAAACCCCTTCGACTCTCGCTCGCTGTCACCATTCGAACATCTCACCCGTGGGCACCCCTTCAGTTCATCAAAGATCGCTTCAGATACCAGTCTCAACAGGTCTACGGCATCCAACCTATCTCAGGACACTCTCCAGAGCCGCACATGAAACTACTCGATCTTAATCTCATCGTGTGGAGGACATCTTGTCTCGCGCTGCCGTCCAAGGCAGCACCTTCTCCACTGAAGCGCAACAGAACTTATTCATTGACGGCCTATAGACCAATGATAAAGCCCAAATCCACAATGTCTACCTAATGACTGTACAATTCCGTGAACATGTCACTATCCTCGTCACTATCCTAAACCTGATGGATCATCTTGAAGAATGGCATTTAGCACTTACTCCTCTTTCGGCTAATGCTTCCACCGTTCCCCACATCGCCTACGCTGCACCCTCTACAGATCCCACTATCCACGATCTAGTCAGAATGATAAAGGAATTAAAAACCTCCAGAGGCAACCATGGCGATCGTCGAATGAAATGCTACGTATGTCAACAAAGCACACACACATCTTCTGTGTGTCCCAAGGGATGCGGCAAATGTGGTCAAAGCGGCCACAACCCCCGAGAATGTACTATGACTACCCTAAAATATACAGGATGTACTCGTTCAGGCCATGTTGTAACAGTTTGTAGCAAGCGCGCAAATAAACACAATTTCCCTTATCGTACCTTGGCCACTATTGCTTCTATTACAATCGATGTTAAACATGCATCAACTACCACACGTAACCCTAATGAATCGCTACTAATCGATGGAGGGGGCAACTGTCAATTACCTCCACACGTCCGCCCAACATTTTCTCACTGATATCGAATACGGGAAGTTTCCACTACGACTCGCTAATAATAAGACTACGATCATTACCACCCGAGGAACGCTTCCGAATCTAGGACTCGCATACCTAGATCACACACTGACACAAGGCATCATTGCGCAAAGCCACCTGCAGGACAGTGGTTGTTCACTTTCATTCCCTGGAGACATAATGTCCTGCCATCTCACATACACAGGAACCAAGCTCGAACTTCGACGACGCAACGGTGGCTACTATATATATTACACAGCACTCCAGAACCTATTCCACTCACCCACTATACGCAATATCCCCCAAGAATCTCTCGACATACATACAGCACCAAATACTACGTCTAATACAATCATGATCGACCCGCCTGCGCCTCCCACTCACACAACAATGACGTATGACGAATTCCATCGGTCTGAAGGCCACCGTATCAGACGCACGACTCTTCGCATGGCCAAACAGAAACATATCACGTTGACACATACCCCATCGAAGTACGTACAATGCGAAGCCTGGATGTTAGATCGTTCTATATTTGCATCTTCCATGATATTTTTGGGCTATACACCCAAAATGGACCTATTTGCGGCAAAGCACAATGTACAAGTCCCCCATTTCGTCTCCCCAGAAGGAGGTGGCATTGCTACTGACTGGCGTCAAATTGATTTCACCAATGAACCAGGACTGTACGGCAACCCTATATGGCCGGATATCAAGGAACTTATCGATAAAAACACCAAGGCTGGAACAACACTTGCTATCGTTGTCCCCCTGCGACCTACAGCTACCTGGTGGGACTCATTCCTAGCACACCTTCAATCTCAACCATATATAATCCAAAACACAACGTCCATATTCCGAAGACACAGCGCCACTATAGTAGGCAAACCTTCCTGGCTATTCACACTCGTCGCCCTCCTGGGACCCATATCTTCCCACGTCACTCCTGGTGATGATTTAAAATCAGCCATTGACTATGTCAGATTCAATCCTGAGTTCCCGAAGAACTGCAGGGTGTGCGTCGAAGGTAAAATGAAGGCTAAGCACGTGTCCCACTGTGATAAATACGCGTCAATAACTATATCTCAACGTACTCCTCTCATCAGAGGTGAGACGTTGGCTATTTATTGAACTTTACTCGATTAACATCTGGTCAATTAGCGCATGTGCGTAATCGGATCAGAACCCTAAACTGGGTTTATGACTGATCCACAAATAGACCCCAATAACCCTAAATCATATATCTGACCACAACCCCCCCAAGCTGAATCACGGAACGTGTGCGAGCTTCAGGAATGAAGATATACTAACTATCTGGGACGCTGATTTTACCTCCATGAACAAGAGGGATCCGCTGGCATTATCCTCGAGAGCTAGGGCAGTGTGCTGGCATTATCCTCGAGAGCTAGAGCAGTGTGCTGGCACTATCTTCAAGAGCTAGAGCATCGTGCTGGCATTTTACCTCTGAGAGTTAAAGGACCCGAGGTGTACGTCTCGAGTAACCCGTCGTTCTGAATACTTGAGACAACTGTTCAGTAGTGACACCATATATGCGTTCTGGCAAGTACAGTATAGAACTATACCTGTGTCGGAGTAAAACTGCCAATAGCAGAAACCATGCAAACCAGTTAACCCTATGATTCCAAACAGAGCCCAAGGAATTGTCTAGTAGATATCGCTGTGTTATACTCAAGAGCTCGAGTGACTGGTTTATACTCGGGAGCTAGAGTGGCTGGTTTATACTCGGGAGCTAGAGTGGCTGGTTTATACTCGGGAGCTAGAGTAGCTGGTTTATACTCGGAAGCTAGAGCGCTGATTTATACTCCCGAGCTGGAGTTCGATCTCCGAAATCAGAGTATACGGACTCTGATGCTGTTATCTTATATTTGTCAGCAGGAGAATACCGTTTGTGTGCCCCTTCGCACTCAATCGTGGATTCTCAGGCTACGAGAGTTCATTCCCCATATACTGAGTGTGCCCGGTGATTGTGTCTAAAACAACTCCAATCACTCGAGGTGTCTGCGTTAACTCAATTGATATCTTCCGGTCACATGTGAAAACAGCGGGTCCGGTTTGAACCCGTTAGGGGGTCCCACTCGTGCAACCATTGTGTGTCCCCATGACGTCTTGCTACAGGCATACTTAGCATACTTGAGGAACGTGTGTGGCGTTCGTGGGACCAGTATTGGTTCTGATTGCAACAACTGTTTGAACAGGTCAAACCATGGTGCCCTTGGTACCCATGGCAGACACACCGTTGCTCTCGCACCATCAGTCCTTATCTTGCGTAACATTCTATGTATATTTTCCCAAGGTGGGTTCATCCATCCATCGACTGTCGACCAGTCGTGGGCAAACGCCCCATCCCCATCGTTTTTAGTCCAAAATCGAGGAAGCTGAGCGTTAGACGGGTCCGCAAATACATCTTTATTGTTCGGCCCGAAGTGTTGTTGTGCTTGTTCAAAGTAACTAGGGAATAACTGCCAACAGTCTGTGTACAGTATTTTAGGTTCGTCCTACTCCGCTGTTCCCTCATGTACTCTGCACAACATGTCCGGAAGCATGTTTGTCTCTCCTGGTATATGTGATATGGTAAAGTTGAACGGTGCTATAATATGGTGCCATCTCTGGAGCATCGGATAAAGCTTGAGCTGTGTATTCATATACACCAGGGCCTTGTAGTCCGTAAAGACTGCAAACCGTTGCCCATCCAAATGTTCCCTAAAATGTGTCAGCCCGTACACCAAGGCTAGTAACTCCTTCATTGGTGTAGCGTAGTTCTGTTGCGCATGGTTCAGAGTCTCGCTAAAGAACATTAAATAGTGTTTCTTCCGGTCGACCCAATTGGAATAACGCTCCCCCCTAACCGTAATCGCTAGCGTCGGTTTCCAAGTTCAATGGTATACCGTCGACCGAAAAGTGCAACGCATCTGCATTGACAACTGCATCCTTCATCGCCTGCCACGCCTGTGCATGTCTTTCCTCCCAACGATCGCCGATCAACTCTTCGATTTGAGTTTGCAAAACTCGCGCAAATGTGCAACCGTGCTCGCGAAGTTGGGGAGATGTTCATGAAGATAATTCGTCAATCCTAAGGCAGAGGCCATGTCTTTGTCACACGTTGTAGGTAATGTCGGCTGGGGTCGCTGTGCCCAGTTCTGTGATTGTCGTCGAACCGTCTGTGGGTTAGGGCGGCTATTGGTGTAGTCACGAGCCCCATTATTTGGTGGATCTTCGCGATTATTACGGTTCTGGAATCGCGCCGCAGTGCGTTGCTGCGCGTCCTGGATGTCGGGACTTAACAACTGGATAAGCTCATGCGTCTTGATCAACTGCCATTTGAGATGCAACTGTAAAGTGCGTTCGTACGTACGGTCGTTGAGAGCCTCCTCTAACAGTTGAACTATGCAATGGTTTAGTAGGTTCTGCTGAAAATCTGCATCCGTCTGGCACCGTTCACGTGCCCTCCTATGGTTCTCCATCAGCTGTGTCATCTGTTCCATAATAGGAATGTGCATATTACGACTGTGACCCTTGGCAAGCTTGCGAAATGCGGGATCCACACTGGCTTGCGTCTCGTGGGAGCAGATCTATTCGATTTGTAGTTGTGGGGTCCACATCTTCAATTGTTCAGAGTTGTCGCGTATGTAGTCCAATGTGGATTTTCCGCTTTAAAGTAAGATAACACCTTGTGAAACCATGTGAGGCTCCAGCTTTCGTCTAACCCTGCGATCTGCGCATTCTTAAAAGCCTCCAGTAGAGCCCCTCTCGTATCCCGTTCCATGATATCATGGAGGTGATATCTGTTCGAAGGCCAGTCCGGCCATGTCCGTGGTGATGGTACTGGACGTTTCTCCACTGGTCGGGCCTCTAGCGTGGCTCTGAGTGTCTCAATCGCACCCCTAAGGGCTTCAGCCCGAGCCGTGTTGTCATCCTCTATAGCTTGACATAATTCATCGCTCAAGTGTAGTATACGTGCGTGTAACACCTGGCTGCTCTTTTCAATACTCGCCGGTGTAGGAGGAGGTGTAGGCATCGTTGTCTCCGCTGGCTTCGAAGATTGTTCTTGCCCACTCGCCGTTGGTGTGCATAGTGTGGTTTCCGTACGTCGAGGGGTCTGTACATACTCACTAGCGGATTCCTTCTCGAACAACTGACGTTGTTGGTGTTGGCGATATGTCGAACTCATCTGGTCTTGTTTAGTTTTGGGTGCCTCCTGCCCGTGTGGGTTCCGTTTGGCCAACACTTGCTCGCGTACCAACTCCTGGAACGATGGCGCTGCCTCCCTGGATGACAGTGTCTCTTCCTCCTCAGAGGGTTGCCCTTCCGACTCCGGTGACTCGTATCCAAGGCCATGATGTGGTTGTGAACGACCTAGTATTCGGAACGTAGCGTTGTTCTCCCTGCTTCGTGTTGTCTGCCCTTGTCTGTGTGAACTAGTAAATGGGGCGTGCGGAGACAACAATGTCGTAGGGCGCTCCGAAGCCGTACGTTGTAATCTTTGTTCATACTTCTCCAACAGCGATTGTTGTTGAGCCATGAGCTCGGTGAGCTTTTGTGTTGACAGCTGCTCCCGCGTTGTACCCTTGTTGCTGGGGCGACGGCGATAACGCCTCCGCTTGTTAGGTGGGAGGTGTGGTTGCCCATTAACCGAGGATGAGGCGCCTGAGATACCCGAAGACGAACGAGGAGGCAGTCCGTTACTGGCTACCTGTTCACCAGTAATGGACTGTTCCCTGTCCGCGCGCAGGTCGGAATCTCCCTTGGCCTCGTCGTTGTGTGCTACGTCTTCGGTTGCAAGGCTAGGTTCGCCCCTAGTTGCCGCAGGTATCTGTCGATCAAGGTTTGCTTCCTGGTTATGGATCTCGTCATCCTTAGTATCCCTCCGCCCTGTCTCAGACCGATGGCGGGGATGATTCGTTGGAGGTTGGTAGCGCTTGATCCCTCTCCGGTCTATATCATCATCCTCTCGACGTTCAGGGGTTAGGCGTTGCTGTCGGTGGCTTTGACGTGTGTTGGACATAATAGGTATGTAATGTATTGTAATGGAGGTTTGGAAATGTATGCAGTCATCCTCAAAATAGTTCGGGTATAAATACTTCCCCGTCCTAGAGGTTCGACGCCCTTCTCAACAAATCTCGACATTCTTACAATTTATTTCGTCCCTTGCCGCAGTATCAACTCACCCATGAATCCTGCGCCTGTCTTTAGCCAATGCATATGTTATATGTATTTATGTTTTAGTACCCGTCGGGGTTCACCCTACCCTCTTGTGTGCTTCTCCATTCTTCTGGTGGAGTCACATCCCTCTTCAGTGAACTCCTTTTGCTCCTGAGAAGGCTCTTCAGCTCTTGTGTTGTTCCCCGTATGTCGCTGATTTATTCTTCCGTGTTCCAACATGTGCCATTGTGGTAAGCAACCCATGATGGCTCCATATAGGCCTTCCTGGCTCTACCGATCCCTCTCTTATGCAACTAGACTCTACTTAATATTTCCCTCGTACGTCCCGTCGCCCGAAGTCCCCTAAGGCAGATGTTTCTTAGTATTGTGCTTGGTTCTCGTCCATGGCCCTTCTCTCGGTGGACTACTTCTCTGTGAGTGTGTTGAGCTATAGTTTCTTGCAACGACTGGAATAGAATGTTAGCTCGTCTGAAACCACACACTTACTGTAAATCTAAGCCTCTATGTGCAGGTGGTATGTTTATCCTTATTCCTACCCCCATGCTTTCTACAAAGGTGTAAATAACGTTGCTATAGTTTGCTTTTGTCTAGATCTGGCGTGGGTCTATAATGTTTGTAATGTTATCACTTTTAGCCCTATCTAACGTAGGCACTACTATCTTATATCTTCTCTTAAATATTTCTCTGTTCAACACTCTAAAATCTACCTTTTCTGACTCTATTTTCCTGTTTCGAACGAAATTTTACCTCCAACAATTGTCTTCACTAACCAAGCTCGCTCTTCTAGTCTGTACGTGTCTATAGTAGGGTTCTGGTTTAACTACTGCCCTACTACTTGTATCTCTAACCTTATAGTTTCGAACACTACTAGAACTACTCTTAGTTATTGTTGTTACTTATCGTGTTCGTTGTCTGAGCCCTTGTCTTTGCCGTCTTAATCCGTCCGGACC